TGACATATCCAACAAAGAACAATAAATTTAGATGTACTAGGACAAAGGACCAAGTAGTCCCAGTCTCCACTATTGAAAAAACTGTAAGAAAGTAGTACATTTTTCCTGAATTCCTTTGACCCTGCTGGTGCCCTCCTGAGCTGAGAAGTAAGCTGGTTGAGTAGCGAAAATGTTTGCCCCACACTCAGGCAGACGGGGGTGAGCGGGAGACAGTGCCCCTACATCTTAACCTTCTTCAGCTCATCTTCAGTATTTTAAGATAGTTTGGTTTCCTTCAAAGGCAATACGAAATATCCAATTTCTCATGCAAATTACTGCATGAGAGCTTCAGTTTTTCATTTGTTAAATAGAAATAATAGTACCTACTCCGTAGTATTTAGCTAGGATTATATGAGGTGATACAAACAAGGATCTTCAATAGGATCTGGCATATGTTCAGAACTCAAATTGATATTGGCATTAATTTTTTTTTCTTTTTTCAGTTTTTGCCATAAGGTGAATGTACTCACCAGAGAGAGACAGAAAGAAAGCAAAAGTGAGAAATCACTTCCACCTCCACCTCCACCACAGGGTGATGCCCATGTTGCAATCTCTTCTCCATTCTCCTCTTGGAGTTCTGAGCATGCATGTACACACATCAGGAGTGGTTTTTGAGCTGCTGGGTCTGGCACTTGAACTGCAGTCAGTCATGTAGATATCCAGTGCTTTAATCACTATACCCCCTACTGGAGCTATTATATCTAACATTTTAATACAAGGAACCTAAATACTATATATTCAAATGTAGATGAAAAAATGAATCACAACCAAGAAGATATGCCAGTATAGGAGAAAATAAAATTCATCTAATGATACAAGGAGCTCTAGGCAGGAATACAGCATGAGAAAAGAGATCATTTGTACCTAGGGCCAAACATCTAGCCATTAATAGTTGTCTTCATGGGCCAGCAGGTGGCATAGTGAATAAGGTGCTGGACTCCCACATAGACAACTGCTGCTCAAGTCCCAGACCAGGTGACTTCGAATTCACACCAAGTGAGTGCACGCATGCTCAAAATCCCAAGATGAGAATAGAGGAGAAGTGATTGTGATGTGGCCATCCTCCCAGAGGGAGAGGGGATGATTTCTCACTTTCCCTCTCTCTGTTTCTTTTCAGGAAGCACATGTGCCCTATGCCAAAAACAAAACAAAACAAAAAAACTTAAAATTGCCTTTACTCAGTTAGTGCCACAATGTCTAATTCTTCCATCACTCTAACCGATTCCATTTGTTGTCTAGGCTTCTGATAGATCTCAAATCATATGACAAAAAAATTTAAAATTGCCTTTACTCAGTTAGTAAGTGCCACAATGTCTAATTCTTCCATCACTCTAACCGATTCCATTTGTTGTCTAGGCTTCTGATAGATCTCAAATCATATGAATTTGCCTCTAGTTGTCTCCTTGTAGAAGTGGAGGTAAAAATCTGTTTTCCTGCTTAGCCATGCAAGACACTGTAGCAAACATAAATATGTTTGAACTAGAAATGATGTCTTTTACTACAAATTTTGGTGCAAATAATTGCCCAAGCATTGACCATGTTTGTTTTCTTTTTTTTTTTAACATGCACATCAATTTTAATAAACCTCAAGAAATTATGCTTATTGGAAACAAACGATAGCAAAAAGTCACCTACCTAATGATTCAATATTTATAATATTTTCAAAATCACAACATTTTAGAAAGAGAACAAATTACTGATTGCCAGGGTTCAGAATCAGGAACGAGACAAGAGGTGACTATATCTATACAAGTGCAAGAAGAGGGATTCTCTTGGGGTGAGGAGATTGCTTCCTCTCTTGACCATAAGGATCCTGGGTTGCGATACTCTACCACAGTTTTGTAAGGTGTTGCCATTGGGAAAACTATTTTTACCTCTGTGTTATTTCTTAAAACTGCATGTAAATACAATGATCTCAAAACAAAAAGGTCCATTTTAAAAGGAGTTATGGGACTAAAAGCTCCTTTTAAGAAAGTTTCTTCAGCTGTATCTAATCAAAACTGCAACTCTAATTTACCAGAAAATATTTTTCAAGACTCTAAGAAATTTGGGGACCAGCAGTTGGCGTAATGGCTATGTCGTATGACTATAACAATAACTATAACAAAAACCGCTCCAAAAAAAAAAAAAGAGAGAGAGAGAGAGAAATTTTTTCTAGTTATTTGGCACTCTGTCCATTTAAGAGCCTTTCTTTTTCTTCTTCTTTTTCTTTTTTTTTTTGTTTTCTTTTTGAGAGGTTTTGCTATAGGGCGCATGCCCTCGCCAGAGAGACAAAGAGAGACAAAGAGACAGAAAGCGAGAAATCACTCCCCCCGGGGGGTATGGCCATGCCGCAATCCCTTCTCCATTCTCCTCTCGGGTTCTTGGGCATGCATGTACACGTACCTAGCATGATTTTAGGCAACTGGGTCTGGGACTTGAACTACGGTGGACTACATGGGTGTCCAGTGACACAGTCATTACGCAAACTGCTGGTTCCTCAAGAGTCTTCCTTATCATCACCAAAATTGCTCATTCTCTAACAGAGTATTTTCTCTTAATTGATTATTTTTATTATTCTAATTTATTTCATACATTCAATCATTGTACATCACTAGTTTGTAAAATGAATGATCCTACAAGAATACACTTCACCCCACTCCTGTTGACGATATCATACACGCTATTATCAATAGACAGTCCATTTCTGTGTCCCCCTTAATGTCTACCTTCTCTATTTTTCTTCCTGATTCCTTTCCTTTCACTTCCCCCCACCCCTCCCGACCATATTTGTTATCTAAGTAATCAGACATTTAGGTCTTTTTTTCCCTCCTTTTCAATATTTGTTACTTATGACTTAATTATAGAGTAAACTTTATAAAATATCCAGAGAAAAAATAATAGCAACCCGTGGAATATAATGAGGGATACGCACAAATTTTCATCCTTACCATGAATATACTACTCCCAACAATTTCTATGTTTTTTTTTCAGCCAAGTTTCACTATGTAGCAATTCTTCTTTGCCTTCCCAGAATGGGAGGTGGTGGTGAAACTACAGGTATACACCGCCGTGCCAGACCACAGTAATACTTATTTTATTGAGCACATAGTGTAGATATATCATTATCCTGATTCTGTGTGAATATATTACTATAAATAATAACCCCATATTGTAGATTCTACTGTTACCTGTCTAGTATCACTTGACTGACTGCCTTAGGCCTCAAACCCTTCATTTGCATTGTTTTATAAACTTTTTCCTTTGGCCGTTAGAGATTATATACTCTCAGAAAGGTGAGTATAGGGAATTAATAGATTAAGAAGGATGATATGATCTGATTTTATTTTATTTATTTATTTATTTATTTATTTATTTGGAGAGATTTTCGCTATAGGGCGCGTGTGCTCACCAGACAGAGAGAGGCAGAGAGACAGAAAGCGAGAAATCACCTCCCGGGGGGATGGTCACACCGCAATCCTTTCTCCTCCATTCTCCTCTCGGGATCTTGGGCACATGCACACATGTGCCTGGCGTGTGAGTTCTAAGCCACTGGGTCCGGGACACGAACCGCAGTCGACTACGTGGGAGTCCAGCGACATAGCCATTACGCCAACTGCTGGTTCCCAAGAAGGATGATATTATCTGATTTTAAAACTGCTCATGTTGGGGACCAGCAGGTAGCATGGTTATTAAGGCACTGGACACTTCCACGTGGTCGACCACTGTTTGAGTCCCGTACCTGGTGGCTTTTGCTTGCTCTCTCTCTTTCTTCCTCCCTCCCTCTGTGTGTGTTTGTGTGTGTCTCCCTCTCTGGTCAAATTAAAAATAAATGAATGAGTAAATTTAAAAAAACAAAAACAAAAACAAACAAAAACCTGCTAATGTCATAACTATACCAAAATAAGACATGAAAGCAGTTAATAGCTTCATTTCCTGAATGGAACTAGGACTTGAAAGCAGTTAATAGCTTCATTTCCTGAATGTACAATATATACAATGTGTGTGTATATGTTAAAATGTGCATAATATGTGGAAGGCATGTTTTTATATATTATTACAAGGCATAAGTTATGAGGAGCAAATTGGCAGAGTGTCACTTCAGAACTACGGACATAAAAGAGTGATCTGGATAGGTTTTGTTCACAAGCAGTGGGAATCTACCCTTTGTATATGTTCGAACAGGGATGACATTCATCATGGTTGGAAGAGCTGCGGAGGGTACCACAGCACACCCTGCATTTGCGTATTAGTTATGGCCTTTAATGCATCATTTACCTTCTGAGAGCCAATGTGGAGTACCTTCCATAAGACAGAATTTTATTTCCATTCATGTGGGAGTCTGGAGGTTAACAGGCTTTTCCAAATCATTCTGTCTCTGTCACTAACATGATTACCCTCATCTGCATAATGCATAGCTATTGCACAAGGAAATAAAAAGCACTCGAGCTCTATTTAAGCAAGCGGAAATTGCATATATCACTTCCCCATAGGTTCTGTTATGGATAGGTTAGTCCCAAGTCCAAAGCTAGCTACGAGGGAAGCTTGAAAATGTAGCTTCCTGTGGGATAGCTATATGACCCTCTAAAACTCCATTACTATAGAAGAACAGAAAAATTAGGTTAGGGCAACAGCTAGTCATCAAGAACACCTGGCCAATTATGATTTCTTCTTGTGTAACTGTGTCCATGTGATTCCAACCCATAAGAAGACGTTTTCTAGCTGCTGCTAGCGAGATGGAGAATCCAGTCATGTGTTTAATACTCAGACTTTCTAACAATAAGTGTTTATCAAGTTCTGTCAGTAACTTCTTCCAAGCAGGTCTTAAATTCCTTTTTGGTCAAGAGCAATACGTTAAATGACGTGGTACCTTCTACAATGCTCAGCACCATTGAGGTGGGGGGAGATGAAGTGGGGAAATTTGCTGTTCTACAACATAGCATACATTATTCATCTGTTTTCTTACCACTTTTTATTTCCAGTTTGATCACTCATGGCTTTGGGACTCCAGCAATATGTGCAGCTCTAAGCACTTTCCAAACAGTTCTCAGTGAAATGCTGAACTACTTGGAAAAACACACTACTCACAAAAACGGCGGTGCGGCGGATTCTGGACAAGGACATGCCAACTCAGAGAAAACCCCCCTGCGGAAAACTTCAGAGGCTGCTGTGAAAGAGGGCAAAACAGAAAAGACAGACTAACTACATCAAACAGAATCTATTTCCAGAGAGTCTTGCTGCTGATATTTTTTCTAATATATATATCATTGAGGGTGACTAATCTTCGGTGGACCAAATCTCTGCCCTCCCCTAACCCTCCATAAAAAAACAAGAATGGAAATGAAAAATGAAACAAAAAAGGACAAAACAAAACAAAAAAAAAAAAGGAAAACAGCAGTGTAACTGTGTGATGAAATCGTCACTTTTTAATTTTATGTTATGATAAACTTTTGTGCACGTAATTTATTGTTCTGAACTATATACATCACCATTTTTAAGCACTTCTGGACTTTGGAGAGGCAGCACATGCTTTTTCACATCTAACTGATGCACTTTCTTACCCAACTTTGTAGTTAGGGATTAGAAAGAATAATCAAATGGGAATCCACCACCAGTGCTTACAGTTCCAGCAGTCTTTCTTGACTTAATTCCCTGTAACGAAAGAGTGCCTCTTTCCATTAAATAAACCAGTCTGGAAATTCATCCATAAATAAATGTTTGAGGAGCTAAAAAGGGCAGTCATGAATCTTTGTCCTATGCATTGACAGCAGTTCTAAAATTTTGGTCACCCGTAGCCCACTTAACTACCAGTGCCTTGGTGGTATTTTAAAATTCCAGAAAAATCTTACCCTTCTATCTATGACATTCCTCTCCCATCCCAAGTTTATCCCTCTACCCCACTGCATAGCTAAGAAGATACTCTCGAAGCATAATATTAAAGGGATAAGAGAAGAACTCTTCAATTCATTGTCCGTATATTATCAACATAACAGTTCTAGGAAACATTGCATTCATCAGGTTTGAGGCAGATAGATACAGAAAAGGGTAGCTTTGCCACTGGTAGGCTCCTGGTGTATGACAGTGGCATCATTTTGCAAGGAAAACATGGGAATAGGAACAGCCATCTTCTGGGGAAGCCCTGCCCCTCAGAGACAGGGGAAGAGGCCAGGGAACTAGTGGAGGCCTCTTGAAGTGCTGGTGGTCAATGATTGTAGGATTACAATGAGACACATTCTTTTTCTACTATTGTGTTTCTCCTTACCTGCCCGATAGCTATGTTCTAAACCTTCAGAGGCACAAAAGCATTCAGGTCTGTGTTCAATAAAGAAAACAAAACAAGACTGATCAGAGAAGACTTTTGCTTTTAAGACGCTTCCTTTTTTTGTAGCTTGTTTTTATAACTTCACTGTCCTTTAGTTAAGAAACTGAAAACAAGAGGTTCTTGGTTTCAAAGGCCAGGAGCTAATTGAATAAAAGTTTGGTCCATATCAACGTGAATGTGTCAAGAAACCTGACTGGTACCACATTATACTAACCTTTCTACTGTTCATTCTTTTCAAACTGCTAGGCAAATAAAAATGTAGGTCATTGTCTATGTATAAAAAAAGAATCATTTTAATTATGTGTGAACTCCTGACACTTAGTTTAGCATGAAAATATTCTCTTCTCATTATCATGTTGAATTATTTTGAAAAAGGTCTCTGCCATATGATAACCCCATGGAGAATATATTAGTATTATTTTTAATTAGAGGAAGTGGATCAAGAATTTTCATGTAAAGATCATAAAAACTATTTTTACTAACAATAATTCTTAAAATAATTTGACCTTTATTTTCCCTTGTTTATAGAAAACAACCCTATCCAGTGAAAATCTGAATTTTCCAAACTAACTTTAATTAACAGGAGACACTGCTAAGGAATTTCATAGTAAAGGGATTTAATAGTTACATAGTAGGGAAACTTAAAATTGAAAAAAAGATCTAAAAGTAATGAAATGTGATTTCATGTGTTTAGCCCCATTTTAAAAATTTTACCATTATTCATGGCTTTAAGTTTTTTTTTTAAATAAAATATAATAAAGCCAAGATTCTTCTGCAGTTCCAAATTTCATCACAAATTAAATGATTCCATCTTACATGAATTTCCCATACTGTAAAATATACACATGAAACAAAAGTGATAAATATATAAACTTAATAAGTAGTAGGAAAGCTTTCTAATACAGAGAATGTGGGCTACCATTTCCTAAACGAAATTTCCACATTAACTTTCTTTTATTCCATTTATTATTAATAATATATATGTATTTAATATGGCATTTTGATATGCATATCTGGTAGGTACTTAATGTAGTTATATATTATGTCAAATGTTCACCAATAATCTGACAAAAATTGAGATCTGGCTTCTACGATATTACCAGCTTACTTCTTTGCCCTTCATTGTGACTAGTTGGGGTTCCTAACACCTCAGTGTGGTGTTTTTATTTATTAGCCTTGAAAACAAAAGTATAACTACAGTGCATATCATTTACCAGGATCTTGGGTGTCTTAAGAGCCTTAAATGGACAGAACCCATTTAACGTAACCAGCCGTTAGGACATAAATGCATTGATGGGCTGGTCATGTCTAGAATCATTATTTATTATCATACTCTAATGGACATTGTTAACATACCAACTTTTGTCTTGTATATAATAGGTACTCAACACTTTTTAAATAAATGAGTAAATGAATGTGTGTGTGTTCTTTGTCCAAAATGGGCCAAAGGACCTTTTAATTTGGACTTTTTTTAATACTCAGTGCTTCAACCTAGCTTGCTTCTTCTGTGGTACTATTTATTATAAGTAATTATTTTTATTTGAATAAGGAAATATTTCCACACTAGTACATTAGTCGCAAGTAGATATATTTGATATAAAATAGCAAAAAAATTAGATTGTACAATTTCAGCAAAAGTGAAGTTATAATTCTTATCATTATAGTTTATAATAGAGGAAGATATCTCAAAAAACTGTCTGCTTGTCAGTGCTATAATAAGCAATAAATCAATGAAAGGACTTTTTAGATTAATTATTGCCCAGAAAAAAGTGTCCAAACCTCTCATACTTACCCCAAAAATAATAATGACAACATAAAATTTTTACATTTAAATTTAATGAAACAGTAAGTTGAATTTCTTTATAAAGACATGTTTGTTTTCAGACTGTTTCAACACTCAATTTAAATGTCACTGCCATGCTATTTCATTAGATTTACCATTTGACTTAAGTTTGGTGGATCTGGAAAAATAAATGAAAACTCTAAATTACTCTATATTTTTTCTTCCCTGGAAGAGTCACAGCCCTAGCAAGTTTCCTAGTCCATTCTCCTCCTGCTTTCTTTTTTGATACCTTGAAAAGTGACATTTCTTTCCTGACTTTATAGTTCCTTTTTCTTTTCCTTTCTTTGGGAGGTATTTTCTCTTCAATGTCTAGGGCAGGACATGACCCATTAGCTCTTTGAGCAACCTGTTCTGAATGTGACAGCGATAGGAATTTCGCCTCCCATCACCTGGAGCTTTTAAGGTTAATGTGTCAACAAATTACCATTTACAATGAGTAAAACAATGTCCTCTACTTACCTATATCTTCTTTTCTTTCTATCTCTTTGGAAGAATTTTAGATCAGTGGAATTTTTCTTTTAGAGGGTTTTGTCTTAGGGTGTGTGTGCTCACCAGAGAGAGAGAGACAATGAGAGGGAAAGTGAGAAATCACCCCCCAAGGGGGATGGCCACATTGCAATGCCTTCTATTCCACTCTCCTCCCCAGATCTTGAACACTCATGCACACAAGCTTGGTGTAAATTTCAAGCCACCAGTTCCAGGACTCAAATTGTGATTGACTATATGGGAGTCCAGCAGCATAACCACTATGCCATCTGCTAGCCCCAGCCCAGTGGAACTTAAAAAAATGTATCAGACAGGAACCAGCAGTTGGCGTAATGGCTATGTCGCTGGACTCCCACATAGTCGACCGCAGTTCACGTCCCGGACCCGGTG